TCTGATCTGTACTCAGACTACTCTCTATCTCCTTCAATAATACGGGCGTGTTTGACGGGATAGCAGAAAACTCTATCACAGGGAGATCGGGACAATTTTCCAACGCTTTTCCAATTGGCCCTTCTATTTTCTTAAACAAATGCCGAAGAGGTAGTTCATTCGCATGCAGTAGACAAATGCACCATTGCAGTGGCCTATCTAACTTAATTTCCATTAATCGTATTACTCCACTTTTATAGCCAGTGTTTGTAGCAGTTCCGTCGCACCCAATAACCAACAATTTGTTGAAATCCAGTTCATTCTCAGTAAAAAAGCAACGTATTGAGTCTGCTATACCTTTTCCAGTATTAGGCGACGTAGTTAGATGGCTTAAATAGAGTGAGCCCGGTTCCGTTATTAGAGAAATGTGTTCCTCTGTAGTAAATTTTTTATGCAAACGTTGACCTCGCTTTTCAAAGACAAGTGTCTTAACCTTTCTACCATCAAAGTAGATGCTACTAATTTCACAAAAATTCTGCTGATTTTGGAATTCATCCTGCACTCGTTTCCTAGCTCTTCGAACTTTGCTTCGATCGATGACTTTTCCTGCATTTTCCAAAGTAATGAGACCCACGTCTTGCAATACTGCACTAGCAACTGCTGCTGCCGACCGATCACTGATACCATAGCGATCACAAACTGTAGCTAAGGTAGGAAGAGACAATGTGTTCCTTTGCCCCCGTAGCAGTGAAGCATTATAATTAAGAGTGTTCGAAGTACTGGGCTGAGGTTCAGGACTGGAGGTTTCAGAATCCTGAGAAGTAAGGGGAGTACGCCCTTTAATTTTTTTCTCTTGGTTGGCTATTGCTAGATTAGTGTTTCGTTTCCTTGCAAATCTTTTCTCAAGCTTGTTCGTCTCTAATGGGTCCAAGCCACCAATCGCCATTTTTCTCTCATGTCTCTGATCATATAGAAAATCTGTTTCAAGTGCAGGTACTTTTTCTTCACGAGGACAACCACAGTTGCTGAAATCAATGCATTTGCATTTACAAATATCAAACATTTCTGTGACACATTTTTTTTCCACTCTTGTAACTTCACCTTAAAGCTATCAGTTCGCTTGGATTTTGGATAGCGTAAAAAATATAAGTACTTGTCATAATTGCTCTTTAAGAGTTGTTTCACGCGTTCAAAGGAAACAATTGGCAAAGAAGCTGTAGTCCACACTCCTATAACATCACGCGCTACTGCATCGAATACTTCAGAGATAGCAGGCTGTTTGCCATTTCCCCTAATTTTTTCTTTATTTCTTCTAAATAGAATATGCTTTAATATATCCGCCGTTGTTGGTAACACAGGTTTACTAATCAAACCCGGCGACCCAAAAATCGGACAGTTTGTCTCTTTTCGCGTGACTCTTTTGGACATTATATTGATAAAAATAATTTCAAAAGCACAACTTCGAATCAACTTGATCTTCCGAGCAACAGCAATCAACTGATTGAATAGCGCCTTAATTTTTGCGGTCGTAAATGCAGCTTGGGAATTTATTTCGCAGAATTGCGAATAGCATTTTCGCTGGTTTTTTTCAAGCTAACAAAGTATATGTTTGTTTAGGCCTTCACCCTAAATATTTCTATGTTTTTTCGACCCGCCCTAATGTTGGCATATGTGCATATGTCCACACACATACATGTGCACACGTACTAATATTAATTCGCGCCGTTAACTAAAGTTTCCCGCCGGACAATAAACCTTCGTTAAGTTTCCCCTTAACATCGGTTGTCCGGCGGTCGGATTAAAAAAACCGCACGTCCAGTGCTTCACTTCGGTTTTAGCAGTTCAACGAGCACACAGCAGCTACCAGGCCACTCCAGTCCAAAGGTATTTAAATATTTTGTTATACCCACAGATATATATATATATATTGAAATAAATTGACCCTGTATTGAATTAAAACTAAAATCACAATATCTTGGTTCTATTTATTTCTTTCTGCTATATTTACACCGGAGCGTAATTCCACCACGCCCCCGTGTAAACATTTGGTCCTTTCGGAGCCGTCCGACTTAACACTAAATATTCCAAAGCGCCATTTTGGGACCGTGTGACCATTGCAGTACCAGCGAAACCACAGAAATACAGTCCACCGTCTTTTTCAAAGCGAGTTTGCCACAAAAGCGAATTAACCAGGACACCACGTCTGCGCCACAAATTTAAAAGTTTTCCGTCACCAACCAACACTTTGCCAGCATCAACTCCGCAACATTGAAACCAACCAGTCGTAAGGTACGTGGTTATATTCAGTGCACTTTACCAATATACATATTTTTGCAAAAAAATATATCGTTTAATTTGCGTAAAAGCATCATATATAAAACTACGCGAGTGCAAAGATAGCCTTATAGCAGTGACTTTGTGAAAGCACCAACTTTGTGTGATTCTCCACATTCGAGTGCCAACAGCTAGTATTGGTTTAAAGTGTACACACACACACACGACAGTGAAAAGTGTTATAGCCATTTTTAAATTTAGTCGCAACATCAGTTTCTGTAGATTTCCGACTTTTTATTATCGTCATTAGATTAAATTCACTTTTTTTGTTAGTTTCACAGTAGTAGTCAATTTCTTGCACTAACCTCTTTTCACGATCACTTGTCATTGGTTTGTGAACACATAACCTCACTTCTGCAATCTGTGTGATAATCAGCTTTTCAATTCAAAGTATTCACCGGAGTTTTTTCACACTAGCCTTCAATTTACGTTAGTCACTTTCACAAAGTCACTTTGTTGCACCTTGGCTCTATTGTTTTTTGATTTGCACACATTTTATTGGTTTATAAGGACGTTGCTGGTCCATAGAAATACATATATATCTATACGTATATATTTGCACAGTTGGGTGGCGAGTTTATTAGCATACATTTATTAAATTTATATCCACAACCTTTGCATTAAAAAATAAAGAATTGCAAAAAAAACGAATTTTTAATTGTGGATACATTTTGCTCTTTGGCGGTTTTGGTATTTTTAACTCTAGCGGCAAACAATTTCGTTTTTTGTTGTGAACCTTTCAACAGGTTTGAATAATCTAGTGCATATTTGCCTTTAACATTATCACATCTTCGAAAAGATTTTTAAATTTTTAACAAACTCCCGTTCTTTCTGTTGGTCGTAAAACCATCTTCAACCTCATAATGGATTCATTCATGAGCTTAGCAGAAGAAGTGACAGAATTCGAGTCCGACTTTCTTGCTTCCTCAATATCAGAGCAAAACAAGCATGTCCTTGCGATTCAGCAGGAAGAACTCAGATCACTGTGGGAGAAAACAAAACTAGCTTACGATGCCCTCAACACCTTTTCACAAGAAGATAAGAGGACATACAGAAAAATAAATAGAGGCGCGTTTGCTAGTTATGTAAATTGCATGTCGTCTTTGGCTGCTCAGGCTGAGAAAATAGCAAAAGAAGAACGAGATATAGAACAGAAGCCCATGCGAAAACACAATATTCACCTTCCACCGTGTGATACAGATGTTTTCAAAGGCGATTATCTGTCTTGGCCAACATTTCGAGACATGTTCACGGCCATCTACATCTCGAATCAGGAGCTTACTCCGGTTGAGAAGCTATATTACCTCAACCAAAAAACCAAAGGAGAAGCCAAAGACATTGTGAGTAAGTGCCTAATAACTAATGAAGGCTTCGCAACAGCATGGGAAAATTTGTGTGAGCGATACGAAAATAAGCGTATTCTCGTGAACACACAACTAAAAATATTATTAAATTTAAATTCAGTGGAGAGTGAATGTGGTAGCTCTATTAAAAGATTGCAGCGTGATATCAACAATTGTTTGTCATCCCTCAAGAGTCATCAAATTGACATTTCAAATTGGGACTCAATTGTTATATATCTTTGCTCGACTAAACTGCCTGACAGCACTTTGGCTCTATGGGAGCAAACCATAGACCACACAGGCGATTTACCGAAGTGGGAAGATATGGATAAGTTCCTATCTAACAGGTTCCAAACCCTGGAAACCCTGACAGGCTTAAAGGGTACAAAAGCAGTTAAGGCACCAAAGCCGCAAAACAATAAAAACCCTTCAGAAGCCCATACCAAAAGACTTGGTGCATTCCAAGCAAGCGTGACCAAGTTCACTTGTACAATGTGCCAAACGAATGAGCACAAACTACGCCGCTGTTCCAAATTCTTGAAGCTTACGCCTGACGAGAGGTTTAATTACTTAAAGAGCAACAACAGTTGCCTGAATTGTTTGAGTGCTGCACATACCGTGACGAGGTGCAC